AAGAACAGCAACGAAGAGGCGGGTGCGGAGTTTACGATGAGATGAGTGGGGCGACCCGTCCATAGGCGCTGAGACGACGGTAGCATGAACAGCGAGAAGGATGCACCGGGGATGTGCCGAGTTCCGTTAGAAGTGTGGTGTACCGGAGAACCCATCAGTCACCCGAGAAGACAAGACGGAGATCAACACCTTTTTTTGGATAAGTTCGGGGACTTTTGGCAGGTGTCACATGGAGTAAAGATGCCAGCGAGGGACAGGAGGCGTAGAGGGCTTTAGCAGTGGGCTCTGACTGACTCGTATGCCCGACTCCTTGTTAGCTCTGCCCACTCCCCAATGAAAGGCTACCTAGCCATTCTCCAACAAACGGCTACATAGCCATTCTCCATTAAAGCGCACCAAAAGATATCCAACACCAGAAAAACTTACATACGTTCTGCGCACCGGGTTTTCACCCCACCCAAGTAACCAGTGTGCAACGAGGGAGTGGAGCTCGCGAATGTGCTGGAGTAACTAACTTGGCGTCTTATATCAACGAGCTTACAAGCGCTGCATTGGGACCGATCAGCGCCGGGGTATCGAATGAGAGCCGGCTAATGGCGGATTTTAAATCCTCATAAATTCTTGGTGGGGCAAGACGGAATGAAGTGTTTGGCAGGAGGCAGAGTAGACATATCGGTGGGTGTAGCGGAGTTGGCTCACGTGGTATGGCCGGTATCGTTCAACGGTCGGTGGCTGGACGTAACGGAGCTGGCGCACGAGGAATTCGCCCAGTATTGGGACGCCATATGCCCGCCGAATGTTCACGAAATGGATGCTTTAATGGGTGCCTTAAAAATTCTGCACGATTTGCCTGACACTCGAGTGTGGCCCGGCCAAGTCGTGGCGGACTCGAAGAACGGTGCGAACATGAGTCATCTTGGGCGTTTGCAGCGGGCCGCCGCACTCAAGTTGTACACGAACAGTCGGGCACGGGGAGCCTTGCTGGTTTCGATCGCGGGTTTCCTGAAGGGCGTGGGGGATATTGACGATCCCGAAGTGGTGTCGTGGCAGATGCAGAAAACGATCCGAGACTGGTGGAACGCTCACGGACACATCGTGGCCTTCGTCAGCCTGGATCCCACGGGACTACGTTGCGCGCTGCCCACCTTTCCGGCCTTCCCTAACCTGAACGCCTTAGCCACCCAATTCGACTCCGTGGTCGAAGCCAAACTCGGCCAGAGTGTCGTGATGGTGCCTGTAACATCGCTGGCTCCGCCTCGTTTCACTGCCCAGACCGTACCTCGAGAGATAGTGATTGAAATTGAGCGGATTCGAAATGAGCGGATTAAAACACGGGATTTAAAGTCGAGGAAACAATTGGAGTGCAGCAGATCCGAAGCCGAAATCGACACTGACTCACAGGAGCAGGAAAACATATACTCAAAGGAGCTGGAAGATATATACTTATCGAAGCAGGACGACGGAACTTTTCTTGAAACATACCGACCGCCATGTTCATCACCCTCAACACAGGGCGCATCACAACCTGATTCTCCGACCGATGTTCGGTACCTTGACGGCCTAATGGGGACTGCACGAAAATAGACCAGTTTTAAGGAAAACAATTGCAGGACAGCGAGCTTGTTTGTCCACCCAGTCGCTTGGAGGATGGGGGAAGGTTGCGATGATGGCGGGGTAGGGTGCGAGGAGAGGGGTCTCCCTCGCCATCAACCGTGTTCGTGTTCAAACAGAAAGAGAAAGGCTACCTACCATATTCAGGCCGCTACCGTATTCAGGCCGCTTGAACCCCAAGGGCTTGCGCTGCGCGCTGCCAATCTTCCCGGCCCCCGGAACTGGACGGACACCTTGGTCAGCCAGTTCGACGCTTGCCAAACTCGACAAGGGGGTCATTATGGTGCTCGCACACTCGCGTTTTAGTCCCGTGAGCGCCTCCAGACCCGTCCTGAAGAAACAGCAGCGACGAAGAATTACAAGCCTGCCCACTTTCAGAGCTCCGTAAAAAGGTGCTTCAAACACGTCTGGGCTGTGGAAACGGCGGCTGCAGGCAACGACCCTTTTGGATTCGAAGGTGGGGTCAGTAGTGCTCGGGAGAGGCTCGGGGTTAAAGACGGATAAAAGGGCCCGCGAGGTGGTGGGGGTGGGGGTGGGGGTGGTGCGCCCTAACACGCTCCCGGGTGTCGAGATGATCGTCCCCGGTCATTGGCGGTGTTGGAGACGGGCTTCGTACGCGGCTCGACGCGGTTTGGACCGTTCGAACGAGTCGATGAGGCCGGACCTGTGCTCGCGGACACCTCTCACGGGCAAGTCCAGGTACCTGGGGACGCCTCCGTGAATCCGGCGTGTGGCGATGCAGTGCGACCGAAGTCCATGGGTGTGGAGCGGCGGAGCGGCAAGCAAATAGGTTTGCTGTCCCCGGTGTCGATGGGGTGGGCGAAGCCACACGCCACGCAGACAGGACGGGAGGGGAGGCGAAGGCGCCTTATGACACTATCACCAGCACCACCTGACGCTGTGCCGGCGAGAGGTCGTCACCTAGAACGAAGGTGGGCGGAGGACTGGCTGTTTCAAGGTAAACGAAAAACCAGCCGTCTCCAGCACGCGGCGAACTCTTTGATTGGTAGTGTGTGTCGGTTCGACGATGGTTGAATACCACACTCATGGATGGTCATAGCTACTACGGTTGCGGCTGGTTCGATCGTCGTGAGGATGAGGGTAATGGTGGCGGTGGTAAGAGCGGTAACCGGGTCACCACGATCGCATGCGAGTAATCGACCAACAAGGCCTCTTCCGAGTGAGCCGGGTGGCAGGAGGGTTCGAATCAGCGTTAGGATGGCGACGGACATTGTGATCATCTCGGCGTTTGTTTGGCGAAATCGGAACGAGCATCTTCCGACTTGCTTCGGCAAGGGCTGGACAGCTCAAACATGTTCCAAGAGACTCAACAACTAGTACACCATCTCAAGCTGTATCGCGACTCTCTCCACCCTGGTTGCACCGGAGATAGTTCCTTGCCCGAATATCTCTATCATCGTCTGGAAGCACACCAGGACCTTCTAAGCCTACCCCACCAGTTAGCCACTCACCTACTTGCTTCGCACTTCTCGACACTTATCACTGATGGAGTAGTACCGAGGTTCATACTCGATGACGCATTGATCTTCGAGAGATCCTTACTCTTCAGCTCGAGTGGAGACACAGGCCACATCATCAAACGGTTGCTGGAAGGTCAGCCCTCATGCTCAGGCGCGACGGTC